CCGAACACATGAAAAATTTCACATTTGGCTTCCTGTTGTTCAATATCTCATATGGGGTGAGTGCGAACCTTTTGTTGAGATATGACCTGTTCTGTGTAAAACAAGCAGCGCAAATAGCATCAGCCCAAAAATAAAGAGGTAAAGAAGCAAAACTTAGCATAGTTCGGGCAGCTTCACACAAGGATCGGTTTCGTCTTTCGACTATTCCGTTCTGTTGTGGTGTGTAGGGAGCTGAGAAATTATGACTAATTCCCTTCTCTGCAAGAAACTCTTCAAACTCCCTGTTCTTGAATTCGAGACCATTGTCGCTTCGGATGTTGCGGACAACCTTTTTGAGCTGTACTTCAATTTGCGTAATAAACGTTTTCAGCTTTTGAGTCGCTTCAGATTTGAGCTTTAGAAAGAACACCCATGTAAATCGAGAAAAGTCATCAACGATAACAAGAATATACTTGCTACCACCGATGCTTTCGATAGATGAAGGACCACACAAATCAATATGAATTAATTCGAGTGGTTCAACAACTTTTGTATTGATAATAGATGGATGACTTTGACGACTCTGCTTTCCCATTTCGCATGCAGCACATAGATGATCCCTGTCGAACTTGAGTAATGGAAGGCCCCTTACATGACCTCCTGTAACAAGACGATTGATATCTTTGAAGTTAAGATGAGATAATCTTCGGTGCCACAACCAGCTTTCATCGGATTGCGCTTTTGACAATAAGCATACAGCTGGGTTTCCTTTGATGGGTTTCATGTTTAAGGGAAACATTTCACCCTTCGCTCTGACTTGAGAATTATTTTATTTGACTTTTTCTCTATAATTTCTGAACCTTCATCATCGAATGAGACTTTGAGACCTGTACCTCCAACCAGTTGAGATACACTAATGAGGTTGTGTTGGAGTCCTTCCACATATGCCACCTTCCTTATTGAGAAATCCCCATTGGTTATCATTCCGTATCCCTTTATGGTGCCGAAAGAATTGTTTCCGAACTTGACGTTGCCACCATTTGCAAGCGATCTGTACTCCCTAAGCTCTTCTTTCCTTCCTGTCATGTGACGTGAGCAGCCACTATCAATGTACCATTCTTCGTCGAACTGCTCGTCACTTATAATCTGCAAAATTTAGAGAGATTTAGGAACCCAAAGTTTCTTGGGTCCACGTGAGCTTTGCATGAAACAGGAGCAATATAGAGATATCAACAAGATAAGTTCTTTTTACTAGAGTTGTTTTATCTTTCCTTTTAATGGTGTACACTTTTATTTTGTTAAGATTAGTAGAGTTAGATTCGGTCTTTGATGTGGATTTATCGACTTTCTGCTTCCACTTTTGCTCAGTTGATGAATGAGATTTAGAACGAGATTGATATGAAACTGAGGATGAAGAAGAATTGGAAGAATGAAAAGAATTAGACTTAGAAGGAGACTTAGATGACCCTTTTGTTTTTGATCATTGGAGGACCGACCTTAGAGTTTTGTACTCTTTTGTCTTCAGAACCGAACCTCTGTGTTCGGTTGGAGCCACCTTTGGAACCGAACCTTTGGTTCTGGTTGATATCCTTTTCAGAACCGAACTTCTGCTTTCGGTTGTTATCCTTTTGTGAACCGAACCTCGGCTTTCGGTTTTTGGGACTTTCAAGCTTTTCCGCAGGAATGTTTCATACTTTAGATTCTTGTCTTGATGAGTGAAGTATGCATTCTGGGAACGCCAGAATTGTTTCCTTTCAGAAAGGTTCTTCCGGTATCTATTGTTCCTTTCTATCTTCCTGTTCCGCATCTGAGATGGTTGATGATGAACATTTGCTTTTGTTTTTGCTGACCCCTTGATTGGTTCCATTTGAACTGCGGTGGAATTACTTTGAGCTGAAGAAGCCGAAGGAATGGTTTCTGTTGGTGAGTGAACATCCTTCTGAGGAGTATCTTTTGTACCACTAGTGCTCGGCTCACTGAAGTTGTTTGGCTTATTCAAAGGTTCGGGTATATATCTTCCTTTGCTCTTCCATGAAGTTCGTTCAGATAAACCAATGGTTTCGTCTGCATTATCAATAGGAGCTTCCCAGAAGTATTCATCACAGCCATCAGCATTGTCTTTGTCTACAATGGCTGCAAGTTCGGCTGTTTGATGTTCAGTTACTCCTGTTACCTTGTATACTTGATTTGGAGTAGTCCTGACCTTTTGATACACAACAGCTTTCTCAACTAATTTTGGGGATTTTTGATGGGACAACCGAGCGAACTCTACCGAATTTTCAGAAATAAGATTCTTGTGATTTTCTGGCTCGGTTTTAATAAATTCTGAGCAGTCAACCGTGTCCTCTACAGAAATTTCACTCATATTGTCATCCTCATCAAGCTCAGATGCATTTTCAACATCAATTTTGTTTTCTGAGCTTACTTTGGTGTTTAAAGAGTCAAATTTTTGCATGGTTTCGGTCCTCAGTTTAAGTCTGTCATTTTCATCCAAAAGATTTTTAAGCATGAGCTTGTGGTCTTTAGATTTAATGAAGGACTCAATTTTGTCCAGTCCATACATGTAGGTGGGATTTATGTTATCAGATGATATCACACTTTCACAGTTATAAGCTTCGGCATCGATTTCATCTTCCTTAAATTCCAGGAAGGGCAAAATCATGCGGTGAATTCTTTGGCCTATTTCACAATCCAAGTGGAGCTGAGTAATATTAGAATACAGACGTTTAGCAATTAAACAAAAAACATTTCGTTGTTTTAACAATTTCAAATTGTCTCTTTGCAAATAAATGTTTTCATCTTTAACTCTGACTAATTCCGATTCCTTTAACTCTATCCACATTCTCCGCTCCTCACTCTTCGACGCAGCCCTGCTCAATTGATCAGTTAGGTTAGAATTTGTGACCCGAGTTTGAGTTAAGCTACTATCTAGATGAGATATTCTTGAATTAACACTTTTTAGTTCTTTCTCATAAGAGGATGATGGTACTTTGCATGAAATAAAAACAGATTGTACCTTCTTTATCAGTTCATCCAGCTCATTGAACTGCTGGCTGAGTGGTTTGGCTGTGAAGCACATGTCCTCCTTTGCATTCTGTCCATCATGACCTCCATCGGTGTTGTATCCCCTCAATTGAGATACGTCAGAAACCATAAGGCATTTACCACCACTGCCTTCTTCCTTAGACACGAACGCCTTTCCATGAGTAGGCTGCCTCACTTCCTCGTCTTCTGAGTCAGTAGACCAAACTTCCGTGCTACCGAACTCATCACCTGGAACAGAACCCTGCACAATAAGGGCATTACAAGGCGGGTTAGCAGCAGACTTCTTCTTTCTCAACTCATCTAGCCTTTTCTGCAACACAGCTTCCTCATTGTTTCCATCATCTTTCTCAGCCATTTTCTTGAGGACACAGTCCTTAGCATAATGATTTTTCCCACCACAGTAGAAACAGCTCACTCCAGAGTCGCCGTCAACCTTCGGTTCCTTCTTGTGCTCCTCAACTTTCGGTTCATTAACCACCTTTTCTGAGCTGTAACTTCCCTGCCAGTTTCGGTTTTTGTTGCTGGGAAATTTCTTCTTTATGAACCTTTTGGGATTGGATACCATCAAGGCATAATCTTCTGATGTGAGATCATATTCTTCCAGGCTGAGGTCTTCATCCTCCATAACGGCTTTACTTTTTGACAAGAGAGCCAACGAACCGAGACCAGAGAACGACATTCTTTTCTTGCACCACGTTTTTCTCTTGAGACTTGAGAATTCCCACCAGTTTCGCCAAAGAGTATGATTTAAATTGCTCATGGGCTTTAACTGTGGAAACTACTGCTCTCCACTCAGACCTTAGACCATTCAGGAATGTAACTTTCTGTTCGATGAGCTTCCTTTCGATATCATGTTTGATCATCTTGCTGAGAAGATGATTGAAGCGATCGAATGTCTGGGTTACAGATTCTTCAGCCCCTTGTCTAAATTCACCAAACTCAGATAGAAGCAGAGTTTGAATAGAATGTTCGAGATCTTCGTCTGTAGAATACAATTCACGAAGTCTGTCCCATACATCCTTCGCCGTCGTGCAAGAGCTAACCAATCTGAATGTATCGGACTGAAGGGCAAACCGGATCAATCTTAGTGCTTTGATATTGCATTGGAACTTGTCTTTTTCATCTTGTGCAATGTCTTTCACGTCCTTAAGCAGATCATTGTATTCTTTTTGAGTTTTAATGACTCTGGACGTTGCAGAATGAGAAAACGGTCCGTTGGTGATGGCTTCCCAAATCAAATACCCATTTTCCTCCGACCCAATAACGTAGTCTTCGAAATGATGTGCCCATACTTCATAATCGTTGGTGTATAAGATCGGAATCCTTGTCGTCGAACCAATGCTGTTTGAAATATTGATAACGTTTGATTGTGTCGCGTCCATTATGATCGTAAAAACCTGTTCAAAGATCAGACTTGTAATAAAGCGGATTAGGGCAAAATAATAAATATCAAGATACGTCAATAAAGATGACGGCTCAATAAATATTAATGATTGCGGAAAAACCCTAATGAAAATCTTTTTCACAGAAAAGATGTGTATCAATTACACAGCCTCCTGCTCTGATACCAATTGATGAGATTAATAAACCTTTTAATCTTTGAAGATCGATAAGATCTTGAACAGGTTATGAAAACAATGACGATATAAACACAGTAAAATTATGGAACAAGAATGAATCAAACGTGTTGAATGATTAAAACAAAATCCTCAGAAGAGCTCGATTAAGAACATCAACTGTAGAGGATTGGAAGGTTACAAGTATGATCAAAGAAACCTTTAGTCGTCTGGAAAATATTGTATACTCAGATCTCTAAAACCTTAACCTAATATGCATGCAAGCATAAGCTTATATACAAAGCATAAAAGACATACGGTTGGACAGGCCCAAACCGTAATACAAAGAGGTAAAAACAAACGAGCCCAAAAGACGCAATCTTCTAAGGCCAACATTTAGGTCCTAACACATTTGGGCTCATGAAGCAATCAAGACAATCTACCAAAGTCGCCTATCAAGGCTTAAAGGAGTTTGTCAAATTTGGAAAATTCGTTGAGACAAAAGGTGTTCAAGCTACTAGTACTCTAATTGCTATGGTGGCAGAAGAACATGTGGCACCATCCAGTTCAAATCTCGGTTTTTCTCTTGAAGTTTCTGATAATGATGATGTTGGTGATGATGATTCTGATGATAATGATGATGTGACTTTTTGTCTGTTCATTCCACCGAAGGAGCCAGTCAATGAAGCTGTGATTACTCCAGCATAGACAGAGTCTGAAATCAATATTTTCAAACAACCGAATAATCCAACGCCCGAACAGGTGGAAGCTCTTATTAAAGAATTACAGTCAACTATAAGGAAGCCTCCCCAAGCAGTTTTTGTTACTGTTGAATCTCCATATGAGAGTGATAAAGATGAACCAAATGTCTCCCTGGTGCCAAAGAAGCAAAGACAGAGAGATCCAAGGCCGGGAGTGCTTGTCACTGATCCAGTACAATAGTCAGCCTTTATAATTGAACCAACCCAAGTTCGTGAAGATGTTTAAATCCCAATCATTGAACCTGCCTAGGTTCATGAAGATGTTCAAAGTCTTATTGCTGAACTAGCCCAAGCTGATCAGGATGAACAAAGGCCAATCTTTGATGAGGACTTCTTGGTTAATGAAGAAGTTTTTTCCTCAGGAAGTTCTTCTGCTCCACCACCTCCAGAGCACGATGTTGTATCTATTAAGCTAGGAAAACTTCTTGCTTTTCAAGACTCTATTCATCACTCAAGAGGAAAGGGTATATATAGTGGCTCAGAACAAGGAGGTGATGAAGATTCTCAACAGACCATCTCTGAGCTTAGATAAGAGATACTAATTTTGAAGCAGGAATTCATTGGAAATGATCTTCTGATTGGGAAGTTGGATATGAGAGTTTCGTAACTTGAAAAGGAGAATTCTCAGAAGAATAAGCAGATCTCAAAACTTTAAGCCAACCTTGGCGGGCTGACAGCTTTCTTCTTTGATCTCAAAGACAAACTAATTGGAAAGTTTGGTGATGAGTTTAAGGTACCCAGTTCTGATGATGGAAAAACCCATTCATGATTACAATTCATAGGCCTGTTCAGGATCACGACCGGGGTGGGCAAGGTGGCATATCGTCTGAATCTACCAAAGGAGCTTAGCCAGATTCACAACATCTTCCACGAGTCACAGCTTCGGAAGTGTGTCACTGAAGAGTCCGTAGTCATATTATTGGGTGATATTCAGGTGGATGAGAGTATGAACTATGTCGAGAAGCCTGTTTCAATCCTTGATAGGAAGACAAAGGATCTTTAGAATAAGGAGGTAAGACTTGTAAAGGTGCAATGGCAGCGCCGAAGGGGCTCCGAATGGACTTGGGAGCCGGGAGAGGAGATGTGAGAGCACTACCCGGAATTGTTTGGGTCAGCAGACTTCGAGGATGAAGTCTAGTTCAAGTGGGGTGGACTTGTAACACCCGTTCCAGGTATTAATTAATTTAGTTAATTTTAGGGGGGGGGGGGGTTGTTGCATGTAGGGATGAGCACCGGAACCGGGTACCCGCTTTTGGAACCGGAACCGCCTCAGAACTACCGTTTTTGGAACTAGAACTTCCTTAAGCGGTTCCGGTTCCAGTTCCTAAAGTTATGGAACCGCCTTAAGCGGTTTCGATTCCGGTTCTCGTTTTTTCGGAACCGCTACCTGCTGGGTACCCGCCAGAACCGGTTTATATATATATATATATATATATATATATATATATATATATATATTTCATATAAATGTGTGTTACTTAGACCGGTTTAGAATATACTGGTCCGATTTTGTCCGTATTTGGTCCAAATTGATTTGATTTGGATCGAACTAAATTGCGGTTTTGTCGAAAAAAGTTAACAAAATTAATGCGACCGGGTTATCCGCCCCCGGAAGCGGAACCGCCGGTTCCGGGACTGGTTCCATACATTTAAGAACTGTCTAGAGCGGTTCCGGTTCCGGTTCTAACTTTCTAGGAACCGCCGGTACCCGTTATCGCCAAATGAGGCGGGTACCCGCCTATGCTCATCCCTAGTTGCATGGACTTGATGAGTTGGGAGTCTAACTCATCGAGTAGGGGCATTTAATCACGGACACACATCGGGACCAACTCAGCTAGTCGAAAGGCCTGACTCAACGAGTTGGAGCTGTAAAGAGAAAACCATAATTTCAGGGTTTGCTCCCTATATAAAGATCATTAACTGTCCTTGTGGCCTCCCCTAGCACTTTATCTCCCTACATAAAGTAGTTTTCGGTTGTAAACTCCCTTGAGTGAGAGTAAGAGCGTTTGTGAGTGATTCAGGGCATTTGTGAAGGATCCTAGAGTTGGAAGAGGAAGGGACAACGTGAGGAGCAGTAGATCTGGAAGTTACTTTGTGCTGGCCATCATCCTAAGGTAAAAAGTCACCATCTTGATCTCTAGTTGCTTGGTTCTCTTGTTTTGGTAATAGATGTCTAATTTGATGCAAAATGGGGTCAAAACTCAGATTTGAACCTATCACAAGGACATGGTTCCAAATCTGGACCTCTTTAGTTCCCAATGACATAAAGTTGTTTCCTTTAGGAAATTCAATCCCTTTCCATTCATTAAAACCTTATATGAAGGCTAGTTTGGGTGTTATGGCCATGTGAGTCATTGCATGCATGTAAAGTTTGCAACTTTACATGACATCTACACTAGGGAAGGCTAGATCTGAATTTTAGGACTCTAGATCCCATTGGAAAAGGCCGAAAACAAAAAGGACTAAAGGAACTCGCTGAGTCCTTTAATCCACTCGACGAGTCAGCCAAGGAGTTTATGGCCAAGGAGTTTACGACCAAAGAATTTACGGCCAGGGGTTTGCGGTTGAGAGTTTGAAGCCACAAATATTAAGGAACTCGATGAGTCACTCAAGTGACTCAGAAAGTTGACGAGTTAAGCAAGGAATTCGACGAGTGGCTGGTTATACTCGACGAGACGAAGTCAACATGGACTGTTGACCTTAACTATGGACTTTGACCTTGACCTTGACTTTGACCAGAGTTAAGTTCAGAGTATTTATGGGATGGTGTTCAGTTAATCACTTGATCATTATAGGCAGTTAAGAAGGAGCAGCGTGTGGGATATATTTGACTTCATCTTACCAGTTCAGTATTTGAGAGGTGAGTCTTATCACCATACCTATGGGTCTAAGGCACCAAGGTCGGCACATTATATGATTATGGTTTATGTGTTAGTCGTTTATGTGATTTGATACGCTATGTGATCGTGTGTTATTGCATGGAAGACCCCGGGGGGGAGCCCGTGACATCGGATGTAAGACCATGTGGGGTTACCCATGGAATTCCTAGGTAAATACCATGAGGGGTAGCCCATTGCATTGAATGTAAGACCATGTGGGGTAGCCCATGACATTGGATGTATAACCATATGGGGTAGCCCATGACATTCCAAGGTAAAGACCATGTGGGGTAGCCCATGGCACGAAGGTGTAATACCTTGGGGGAAGCCCATGGCATCCTTACAGGTTTATGTATGCATGGCTTTTGTGTTATATGTAGCTTTTATATGTAACGACCCGTTTCCGGTATGTTAATAAATTGTAAATTTGTCTAAGTTTTCAAGAGGGACTCGGCGAGTTCTAGCCTGACTCGCCGAGTTGGGTCGCGCATTTTGTGCACGCGGGAGCCGGCGACTCGGCGAGTCCATATCCTGGACTCGGCGAGTCCGTCCGTCTGGATGAAACCCTAAATCCCCGGGTTTGCCCACTATTTAAACCCCATTATAGCCTCATTCTCGCCACTATCACCCTGAGAGCTCTGTGAGAAACCCTAATCCCTCCATTTGTGAGCTTATAAGTGATTTAGTTCCATTTTGTGAAGGTGTGAAGAAGGAGAAGAAGAAGGAAGCAAGGAAACGAGTTGTAGTGCAAAGATCCAAGGTCAAATCTGAGCTTATTGAGGTATTTTCGGAGTTCCCCTTCTGGTTATATGCTTAAACTTCCATTAGAGCTCTTTTAAGGGCTATTTGATGTTTGTTCCAAGCTTTATGTTTGCATGAATGTGTTAATAAGTCGAAATACCTTTGGATCTGAGTGTTGGGGTGTTGTAGAGCCCAGATCTACTGTCTTTTTGGAGTTACATTGCATATTAGCCATGGATCTACTCTTGTTGTGCATCTTTTAGTCTTATTTCCCTTATTCATGTGGTTGTGCACGTAAAGTTGGAAACTTTACGTGATAATACAGCTTATTGGACCTAGATCTATCATTTGCATGTGTTGGATTCAAGAGAAATCGAGTAAAGATCTGTTGCATGGCGGCGACTCGGCGAGTCGGAAGAACGACTCGACGAGTCGGGTCGCGAGTCCCGAGTTCTTCAGTTTCTTCAGTGTCGAGTGGACGAGGTGTGTTAGGGAGTGGACTCAGCGAGTTGAGAGTAGACTCAGTGATGGAGGGACTCGGCGAGTTTGTTCATACAACTCGGCGAGTCCAAGGCAATCTTCTTAGGGATCAAGAACAACTCGTCGAGTCTGTTCATCCGACTCGGCGAGTCGGATGAAGATCATCTGAGTTCTTGGATCCAGAGGGTACTCGTCGAGTCGATGCCACACTCGACGAGTATCAGCGTGTAAGAGTTGTGAGGAGAGTCTAGGACTCGGCGAGTTGGGTATCCCGACTCGGCGAGTCAGCCCTGAGTAAGTTGACTTTGACCAAGGGTAAAAGAGTCATTTTACCCCGAGTGTAGTGTTAGTGATTGATTGAGTGTGTTTATGGATTTGTAGCCGAGGAGATTCAGGAGCAGCAGCCGTTAGCTTTCCGAGCCACACACTCATCCGCTAGCTTACGAGGTGAGTTTCCTTCCAGTAGGGACGGGTCTAAGGCCACAATGCCGGCCCGTTCAGTTAGTAGTAGTTCCGGACTTCGGTCCGATGTAGTAGTTAGTATGTTTGATGCCTTCGTGGTTCAGACATGATTTATGCGCTATGTGTATGTGTTTATGATCCGGGCTACGGCCCGATGCAGTATGCAGTATAATTGTTATGATATGCTATGCTATGCTCAGTCAGTTCCGGACCTCGGTCCGATGCAGGGGACACGGTCCCAGTCAGTTCCGGACTTCGGTCCGATGCAGTTAGTTCCGGACTCCGGTCCGATGCAGTTAGTTCCGGACTCCGGTCCGATGCAGTTAGTTCCGGACTTTGGTCCGATGCAGGGGACAAGGTCCCAGTCAGTTCCGGACTTCGGTCCGATGCAGTTTCCGGGCCCCGGCCCGATGCAGTGGGCAAGGCCCAATATGTGTTTATATGTTTTTGTATGGTATGTGGTAATTTGGGGGAGCTCACTAAGCTTCGTGCTTACAGTTTCAGTTTTGGTTTCAGGTACTTCCGCAAGCAAAGGGAAGAGCTCGGGGTGACGGCATCGCACACACCACCGCCTCAGCTTTAGTCTGGATTTGATTTAGTTGTTGATTCGATGTAGTATGATACAGTTTCCGCACAGTACTTTATTATATTTTGGGACATATCACGCATGGTTTATTTATATGATACTCTGATTATAGTTTTGATTGTATTAAAAACGAAAATTTTTGGGTCGTATTTTTGGTCGTTTCAAGTTGGTATCAGAGCCCTGGTTTGAGGGATTCGGATACACTTTCGGGTGTATCTGAACTCAAACTAAGGGGAAATAAAAGATTTTAATAAAATAAAAATGTTTTATAAAAAGAGTTTTGAAAGTACTTAGAAAGAAAGATTTTTTTTACAAGATAGAGGTGTGTGCATGCGGTCAACCGAGCTCAAGTAAGTACTCCCAAATTACTCATACAAGTTGTTT